TGTAGCTGGTTTTGTCTACTTTCATTTCTAGGTGGTTGGGTGACTTTACAATTCCCACAAGTTCCTGAAAGGTACTTTGGGCACTTAGCTTCTCAAATGGGATGCAGGATGCATAGCATGAGGCAGTTACCTCATAAGAAGCCTCCATTTTACTGCCCATCAACAAGGCGAGTTTCCTATAAAGTGTATAGCCTCACTTCATTTACTGATGCATTGCATGAGCAACCCTCCATAAACTAAATGATACGGCCTGGTACAGTGACCTACAGAAAGTGGAGAAAAGATCTGACCTTAGGACTCAGGAGGAGCTCCAGGCTGCCAAGAACCGTAGTTTTTGGAGCACTGTCAGAAATGAGGAGTCATCAGGGATCTATTAACCAAACATCTAACAGCCAAAGCAAGTTTGGAGGTGGGTCCAAGACAAGGACGGATCACTAGGGAGGTAGAAGTAATCTGATGGCCAGATCTATAGTCCACCACAAGGAATGAAAAACTTTCAATAAGATTCTATATTAAAAAAGTAACTGTTTGAAACTTCTTTTTATGAACAGTCTTTTTGCAGTCTATTCAATATTGATCAAACATTCAGGCAATGACTTTAAAGTTGACTTCACTTCCCTGAAATATCTGGGAAGTTGTTTCTCTTCCATTTTCTACCTGCAAAGAGCAGTGTTAATTGTCAAACTTCCTTGTTTGACCTGTACAGAGGTTAATTTTGCTTTTTTATTCTTCTCTGCCTCTTTGAAATGTAAACTTGACATAGATATCATATTATTCACTAAAGTGTAAGTTGAAAAGAGCATAAAACACTACCCTTGAAAGACAATAGTATCTATGGAAAGGTGTAGTCATTGTTGAAAATAGAACATCAATTTTTTATACCAAAACAATGCAACTTCTTCATGCAACTTTAGTAAAACCACAAAAGCAAATTTTACCTTATAATTAGACACTAACTAAACAGACATGCTATTTAAATCTACTAAATAATGTTTTTACCTGTTAAAGGAAATTGAAAACCCTATATGAATTTTATATGTATTTCAGTGATTTTGTGCTTAATTTGTAGCAAGTTAACGTTAGTTGACAAATCAGTAGCTGCTTTTAACAGCAAAAAATCAGTTTGTGCTCAACAAAACAGCTTTTAAATCTGTTCAATCTTTGCTGAAAGTAGGGCATAAAGATTAAAATGATACAGTTTAATGAACACTTACTGGTCTACTCTGTGATTGGTCATTTTCTTTTAATACATATGGTGGCTCCTAAAAGAGCCGTTTGTTTTTTGTCACCTGCAGTCAGTGCAATGTCAAACTCCCTGGTATAATGACCTGCAGGATTTTTTTTTTCATTCGGTTTCTTGTTGGAATTTTAGCTGGACATCAATTCCATATCTTTTGCCTAAAAACTTAAAAAAAGAGCAAACAACATTACTTTTGAGACAATAACTTATGTGAAGGTGTTGCCCTTGGTAAAATTGAAAAAAAGTTAGAATTCAATCTCATTCTTCCTATCATAAGCATCTTATTGAAAGCTTTAAAACAATTTATTCAGTGAAAACTTGGTTCCATCACCTCCGCAGTTTGGGTGTGCTGTCTGTAAACCTTAAGAGGGAGAGGAAACTGTTACAATAATACTGTCAAAAGAGTTTCCATTCTTATAACTATCTTATTGAAAGCTTTGAAAAAATTAATTCAGCAAAAACTGGGTTCCATCACCTCTGCAGTTTGGGCGTGCCACATGTAAAACTTAAGAGGGAGAGGAAACTCTTACAATAATATTGTCAAAAGAGTTTCCATTCTTATAACTATCTTATTGAAAGCTTTGAAAAAATTAATTCAGCAAAAACTGGGTTCCATCACCTCTGCAGTTTGGGCGTGCCACCTGTAAAACTTAAGAGGGAGAGGAAACTCTTACAATAATAATTGTCAAAAGCATGTTCATTCTTATTACAACTATCTTATTGAAACCTTTGAAAAAATTAATTCAGCGAAAACTGGGTTCCATAACCTCCGCAGTTTGGGCGTGCCACCTGTAAACCTTAAGAGGGAAAAGAAACCCTTACAATAATATTGTCAAAAGAGTTTTCATTCTTATGACAACTATCTTTATATTGAAACCTTTCAAAAAATTAATTCAGCAAAAACTGGGTTCCGTCACCTCCGCAGTTTGGGCGTGCCGCCTGTAAACCTTAAGAGGGAGAGGAAACCCTTACAATAATATTGTCAAAAGAGTTTTCATTCTTATGACAACTATCTTTATATTGAAACCTTTCAAAAAATTAATTCAGCAAAAACTGGGTTCCGTCACCTCCGCAGTTTGGGCACGCCGCCTGTAAACCTTAAGAGGGAGAGGAAACCCTTACAATAATGTTGTCAAAAGAGTTTTCATTCTTATAACAACTATCTTATTAAAACCTTTCAAAAAATTAATTCAGCAAAAAGTGGGTTCAATCACCTCTGCAGTTTGAGCGCGCTGCCTGTAAACCTTAAGAGGGCGAGGAAACCCTTACAATAATATTGTCAAAAGCATTTTCATCACACTAATAAAAAGTATCTCATTGAAAGCTTTGAAACAACTCAGGTTGAAAGGTCTTCAGCATCAACCATCACATCACCAATATTCTAAAGATTTCTTCTTCAGGTTCACTGTCCAAAAGCAAAGCCCTAATTTCATTAATCTGCTGAGGGGTTAATGTGGTGCTTGTAGTTTTCATTCAATTTTGCTCCTCTTGGACTCTAAACTTAATGGAGGAAGCTTTTGATGCTTTCATCCAAATGTCTAGAGCTCTGCTGTCAAACACCCCAAGATCTCCAAACTTGACTGCAGTGTCGAAATCCTCATCATCACTGATTCTGAAGGCCTGACTGGGGACTGCAGAGGATTGTTAAGACACCCAGGATCAACAACCAGCTCGATGTCATCATCCGGAATTTGAATTACAGGCGGAAGATCAAGGGTAGCAAGTTGGCCTCTGGAACAATCATTTGCAGCACAAATTGGTAAATCATGAATAAACAAAGGTTCTGATGGTTGACGAACAAAGGCAGTTTTAGTATCCACTGTGACACAGGACGAAGGGCTGCAACTGGAATTTGAAGGGCTAGTGGCGGGGCTTGATGAGAGGCTTGTGGAAGAGCTGCTGACTGGCCAGTGTTGCTGGAAGCTGGGCTGCTAGCTGGAATGGCTGTGGACTTTGTGGCTGTTCCAGGAAGGAAGTAAAACTGGTCACAACTGTAGGAAAGAGCTGCTCCCACAATTCATGATCATATTGATCGATAGGTAAACAGTCGGGTGATATTACCACTCATTTTAAACCTTTGTCAAATTCATAAGAAAGAGCATCCTTGCCAAACATTTTGTTGAACAAGTCATTTATGGTGAAAATCCAGGCCATGTCATCTTTTGACCATGACACTTCTTTTTTTCTGGACCAACCACAGCCTCTAAAATGGAATGGTTTACCTGACATACAAAAAAAAAACATTGGCATTGGCAGAATAAGGGAACGAGTCACAGTTAAAACAACAATGTCAACAAAAAGGATTTTAAAAGACTGCGTTCAATAAGCTCTATAAAGCTTACTGCAAGTTTTTATGTGGTTAGTTTTCTACTGCTCAAGAGGAAGAATGACAACATAGTAGTGTTAACGACAAATTCCATAGTAATGTTGTCATTGAATATAGTGTATGCTTTTTATGGGAATACACAACTCCCAGTTTTTTAGATAACGTTGTCTCAACAAGGGAGAATACATTTGACTACACATCTAAGGGACTGACATAAAAAGAAGTTCCATTATATAATGTTTCTAGCTGGCAAACATTTTAGAAGATAATCACCATTTTCCATGCTCTCTATAGCCATCCTGAAGCAAAGCCGCAGGAACAACAACTTTTCAGAAAAGAAATGTTGCAAAATCTGTTGGACTTAATATAATGAAATAAAGTTGATTATTCAAAAAGTGCCAACAACTTCAATACCAACAAGAACATGTGATTAAACCAGACTTTGCCTTTTTCCCCAATGAATTCTAGTTTTCACACAATAAGATACATAATATTCAAGAACATGTACAGTGTAGCTCCCAAAAACTGATATTTTACTAATATGGTATGCCTTGAACAATGACTTCAATACTAACTGTAAATTGGCATTTAAAATTTCAATAAAGACCTTTAGCATCAGGTTTTTCATGCATGGGACACTGCAAACAGGTCTCAAATATGAGAACGCAAAGTGGTCTTCTGGTCGTGTTTGCAGTTTGCAGTTCAAGTTTGAATGGCAGGAAGGGCTTACAGCAGTAGGTGACTTACAGCAATGTTTTTGCCACTATAACAATAATATTATTGTTCAGCCTTACATTTAAAAGCACAAAGCAGCTTTCTAGACCACCCTCTGATGTGCTAGTTAGAGCTGGTGATAAACAATGAATGTCTGCCTAAAGTTTAAAATCCAGGCAAAGTGAAACTGCAAATGGGTGACTCAGCAGACTGCAGTTTACAGTTTGCAGTTTCCCATGAAAAACTGATGCTAAAGGTATTTTTAATACCTATGGATGTTCTCCAACAGGAAATTATTTTGCTAACAATGAAAGCTCTCAAGATTAAAGGATATTCAAAACAAGATTTAAAGTTCAAGGATTTTCCATTAACTCGACTTAACCTAACCTTTCTATAAGAAGAGTTGTTGGTTTAGTTCTAACAATAGTTAAGTAGGTGACAAAATTAGTTTCAAGTACTGTAGTGTTGAGATGTATGATAATATATATATAAAAATAAAGTACTAAAAAAGTAAAAGATAAAACTAACTTGATGTAGCATGACCATGCCTGTCATGGGAAGTAGCCATTAACTGACGCTGTAATGAGTGTGCTCACTCAGCCTCAATTAAAGCCTTGATTTGAATACTCTCTCAAGCTCGAGGTGGTTTCTAAACAGCATGCTGGCATGTTCAATGGTGATGTGGCCATAATCACCAGTGCCCAGGTTGCAGCCAAACACTTCCCTTAAAAGGAATCCCCATTCTTTGCACTAAAAGAAAAAAAGAGGCATATTTCCATAGATGTTAAACAGTTGTTAAAATCAACATTGAAGACTGTGCAGTAACTGACGGTGGGTCTAAAATACAGGTAACTTTTCCACACTGTCAGAGTACAGCTAGTTCACCATGATACAGACAAATGAATTTAAAAGTAGGTTGAGTTTGATCATCCGGGTGAACATAGTCCTGAATAGGACTGTTGTTGTTGACAGTGACTGACATTTCGACAACCTGTGCGGTAGTCATCTTCAGAGTCAAAGTGAATTGTATCACGTCAGTTGATGGTATTATACTCCTGGGTTGAAACCTTTCACAATTTTAGCATTAAAAGTATTTGCAAGCCCTAAACTCTTAACAAAATGCTCTATTAGATAGAGGGGAATCTGTGTGGTTTGGCAATTCATCCATGGAGCAGTGACATGTACTTATTACCTGGGGAATGTGACCTGTACTTTGTGAATATCTTAAACATTTTAGAAGGGAAAAACATTTTTCTTTTAAAATAATAATGTATGTGCCTCATTCTATAATCAAACTTTAAGTATTGTTTAAAAAACCAGCATGAGTGTATATCCAGGTTCTGATTATAAATGACTGCAAATTTTTTGAAGGGCTTTAAAATCTCTGATATAGATCTTGTATTAATATTTAGATCTGGTCTTTTTTAAATCTAAAAAATTGGACGTAAAGTTTAGCCGTGCCTTTACAGGGTGCAAAGAAAATCATTTTTACAGCTTGCCATTCGGGCAAGCTGAAGCTAGCATTTACTAGCCCAGACGTCATTTCAACTAGCCCGAAAAACGTTTTGTTCTTCTGTTATTCAAATTCCTCATAAAACATCACTTGCCCGTCGGGCAAGTTAAAAACAGAATTCACTAGCCCGATAGCAAAATCCACTAGCCCCGGGCTATCGGACACTACTTTCTTTGCACTCTGCTTTATCAGATAGACACTCATTAAGCATTTCTTTCTTTTGTTTTTTCTTTATGGACTATTAATGAGTTTTTGAATGTCAGTTCTCAAACTCATTAATAATTCATTAAGAAAATACAAAGGAAATTAATGTTTAATGAGTGTTTGGAAATCGGATGAAACACTGCTTAGTATTTGCATCCTTAATTTCTCTTCAAAAATGATTTTGTTTGAGAAGAAATATCAAACATTCGACACAGTGTTTCATCACCAGATGAAACACCTCGAAGTTCGTCAAAAATACTGCGCTGCGCGTCGTATTTTCAACTCTCTTCTCGGTGTTTCATCTGGTGATGAAACACTGCATCTCATGTTTGATATATTACTTAAAGTGATTGGAAACTATTTTTGAATTTCTCGTCATGCAATGGCTTTTAATTGCTGGTCAGTCTCTGCTGAAAGATTTACAAGAAACTCCACTACAGCTGTATTAACCTTCTTGTCTAAATTTATTGTTGTAATAGTTTTAGACATTATGCATATTTTCCATTAAGAGGACTTCATTTTCAAAGGGTACGTATTTACACTCTTACTAAAAGTGAATTACCTGACACATACCTGTATGTCAAAAATGTCAATTAAATCTTGCTAATCTTCCTCGAAGACACTACTTCTAATAACTTCAGAAATGTCTTTCCAGTCAGTGTCAACCTGAAATCAAAGTGAATAATTATATGAAAAGCCCAAATTACAATCTGAAATGAGGTGTATTAAGTTAAGGGGAAACTGCATGCCTATCTCAGTTTTTCTTTATAAGAGTATGCAGTGACCTTCCCTTGTGACCTGTGTTTTGTAACTACCACTTGTTAAAGTTATTAGAATTTTGTTCAAAAAAGCAAAATCAGCTTGACTAGTTTTAACTTAACGTGTCTGGATTTTGCCCGATATCTTATTTCTCATAAAACTGTCCAACATGTCTTCCAATTAAGTAAAAAAAGACTTGATTATTTAATTACCTTTAACAAAATTGGTAAAACACTTCTGCTGCATAATCAGATAGCTGAGAAAGATCAGCATTGTCCACCTTCTGCCTTTTTTTCCTCATTTCCCTTTAGCAACTGACCCACCAACACACTTTTCTGACAGCTCCACAAATCTTTCCTCGATTTACGTAGTCTGCCCTGCCAGAATTCCAGTCTTCTCTGAACTTCTTTTACAGCTTCTAAGGAAAACAGGTTAGGTAGTCACATCACAAAGTGTAAGGGGGTATTCTTTTTAAGGGAGGACTATTATGCAAGAACACAAACCACTGGGTGTGCTGTACATGCTAAGGAACATTCACTCAGTTGGGACGCAGTAATCTGATGCAATAATGATGTACCCTTGATACACAATGGTCACGTCTTGGGGTTGTATTAATACTAACAGTGCTAGCTAGCCTATCACAACTTCCAGTGTAGATGGATATAAATGCAGTCATTAATTCAAACTGTCTAGTTTATCACAGTCAAAGGGAAGGAAAGGTTTTAAATAACAGTATAATGACTGTAACATGTACCTGAATCTGTGAGGGTAATAGTCTCCTCCTTTGATTTAATTGAACCAAAGTCTCTTGTAAATGTGTCTGAAATAGCCATGTCCTGATAGTACTAAAACAAATTTTTAAAAATTCATTGAATATTTTAAACAGAAACCATTTTTTTCAGTGTATGTTTCTACATACTGCACAAAAAATATTATTGTGTGTTGCACTGGTTTAAGTGAAACATTCAAATCATGTGATATCCTGAGCCATACCTTGATTCTATCATTACAAAATATTGTGACCTTATTCAGGAGTGCGTCTTTAGCACTTTCTGGATCAGCAAAAAATGACTTAAATTTGTCATGAAGCAAGGAGTTCCTGACAATCGTTTCAATGTTTGCGAGGAACTCACGTTCAGTAGAACCTTCCGGAAAAATAGTACAGAAAGAAACAAACAGGATTTAAATTCACAACTTAATGAAATCTTCATTACAAACCAGTGTTACAGTTTTCATATTAAGGATCAAGGTATTGTACAAATGAAACTCAAGCAGCTGCTACAGCACAAAAGTAAAAGCCCTGAAGCGGATAAAGGGAATGAAAGCAATCATGATAAAAATGAAACAATAAATTATAGAAGGTACCTGAAAATGAAGACACCTGGATGCTGTGCTTTTCAACAGCAGTTTCTTGGCCCTCCTTCATCTTCACTGTTATTCTGCTGCTAAAATTCTCAGGGCCATAATTTGCCAATTCGGCATTACATTCATCAAGTGAACCCACTTTGTACAAAAACAAACCCAATGATGACAACAACTCTTCGGTATTTCTAAGTTCACAGTGAAGGGCGCAGAGATTAATAGACGATAAATCCTCTTTAAGAAGGAACTCTAAGTCATCACGGATGCCTTTGAAACTAGAAAAAGAAGATTAATTATTCTGTTAGTTGTGGGGATATCTCCCTGAAGTGGTACTTAACAGTTTTATAGATTTCAAACTCAAGTATTTTACTCGACAGGTTTTCAGTCTTTTATGACAGTGCCCCTACAACATTGACACACCTACAGTAAAGGAAGACTGTGGTACATTATTATAGGAAAATAATATGTGCTCTCTAGGAAAACAAGACAAGGATAATTGCCAACATTTTATAGACAGGGGCATTAAACACCATGTTTTTCCAAAAAAAGCTTTTTGCTTCCTTTTCCATGCAGTGGAACTTCCCCTTATTACAAAAGGCAAGGCTTAATTTACAAAATATTATTGCTAAAATGAGGTCTATATAAAAAGTGAGTCTTTCATAGAAAACATACTTGTTAAGCTATAAATGCTGGGATGAAGGGATTCACTCACTATACCAGGGAATTTAATTTTTTTGAATAGAGGTTAACCGTATTGAGATAACCTTAATGTTTTGAATGCCTTTTATAACTAGAAGTTACTGTGAATTCAAAATGACAACTACAAATGCTGAAATTCATGAATAATCAAGGGCTATATGCCTCAACAAGTATCATCAGAGAATTCTTAGTAAACCAAAACTGTAACTAAATTACCCTCCAATGTTGGCCTTGGACATGCTAAAGTGTTTCAAACAAACTGTATGTGGACCAAGATCACAATTAACATCCCATAAAAAAAATAGCCATTATTCATAGCTAGTTTTTTCTAAGAAATTTTACCCAGCACAACTGAAAATCTAATAGTACTATATTAGTAAGTTGGTCATTGGTAAGGTCAAAACCTGCATAGTAGAATTTTTTGACTCAGAGATTTTGAATATATCCACATACCCTCAATACTTTGCAGATAAAGCAACAATCTACTTCAGTTCCTCGTTTCCCAAGCTTAAGGTTCGCTTTCCCTATTTGTTCCAGCAAAAAAATAGAGGGCCTTCAGGTCAAGTATAACTGTAGATATAAATTTTTGAAAAGAGTGGTCAATGTACATGAAGGCATTTGGCTTGAAAATTATGGTACTAAAAATACCTTATTAATTATTATGTGAAACTTACCTTTAAATCTCACAGCATGATAATGCACTCCATCCACTCTGATTCAGTCATTCTTCTTTAGTGCATCCTTTTGTTTGTTGACATTAACAATCAGCTTTTTTAGGTTTTTTTCCTAATAATAATCAAAAGTAAAGTTACCAGTAAACTGAAGTTATTACTAGAATGAAAAAAAAAAAAGGAAAAGGAAATACCATACTGCTAGTCTAGTCTGCGGCAGATAGTTCTTAAGACTTGAAAACATATAAAGGTCGGGTTTGAGTGGCCCACTAATAAATTAAGACCTTTGCGGGTAAATTAATTTTCAAAAATGATCGTTTACTGGGGCCTTTAGGCCTCATATGATAAATTTGTTGTAAATCCACAAATTATTTCAGCTTGCATGTATAACTGGTCGACAACCAAAAATTACACAGCCTAAAAGGTACAATAAAAATTTTCACTAACAAAACTAGTTATTTTGGAAACAAATAAGTATTTGACTAATGAATCAAATTTAAATACAACATACCTGTCTTCCTTACAATGAGTAATAGCTAAAGGACACACTGATTTGTAGCTCTCATGATTATACAGGAATAGTGTGTCTTTGGGGACTACACCCATTAGGACCTGACTGCGCCCTACAAATGAGAGGAAACAACAAAAAAAGGCATTTCAAAAATTTAAGCACCACTTCATGACCTAGAGTTCAAAGTGTTTGGTTATGTTTACCCTGCCACTTTGATGTTACCCCCCCCTCAAACTTAATACAGACACCTGTATTTAACGGATTTCTCGCAACAAAAAGCACATGTATTTTCTCTAAAATTTACTCCCTAATACAGACAACAATAATATGGACAACAAGTTTTAAACTCCCATATATTATATACCCTGCTTTACACTATTAATTTTTATCTCTGCACTGTCTATGACTGAATATCTTTCAAGTGAAAATTATGGATAAGGAACGGTAAATGTTTAAGAATACTGACGAAAAAGACTATTTCAGTCCAAGACTACACCCATGATAATAGATCACAGGGTTTCGTTAGGATGAACTTGTTTCAGTCACAGTTAAAAAATAATTTGGACACTATTGTATGTCCCTTGGTGTCATAATTTTTAACCCCATTTCACTGTTGATTTTGTTTCTATGTTTTCCTTTCTTAAGTGCAACACAGTTGTTGCAAAATACAATAAAGGAATGTGGAAATAAGGTATACTGTATTTACTAAAGATTGTGTTCTCACCTGCAAATGGCCTACCATCAAGTTTGAGGCTTAGGTCAATAATTATTTCTTTCTGCACACCATGTAATCTCAACTCCCTGATAATCCATGTTAGGGCACTTTCAAGAGAAACTTCATAACCATAAATCTTGTATTTGGGTGATGTCAAAGAGGCTTCGAACTTTATCAAACACCATAGACCGAAGTGCCTTTATGTTGTTTTTGAAAAGCAAGATCGGAGTGTCTGATGAGTTCTAAAAGAAAAGAAAAAAAGATCAAAGGTACTGACACAGTACACCTGCCTCCCCCCACAGAAAAAGCCAATTCAGTTTTCTTACACCCCTCAGAAATATTCCAAAGATCAAAGCCGGGTGCCGTCACAGTCAATCCCCTCGGAAATGACTTTCAAAGGATTACTTACTTGATAGTTCTAGTAAGTTTAAAGAAAACAACAGCAACAACAATAACACAAAAAATAGTCGGTAGCTACCTCACCCCGCTTTTTCGAAGTCGAGTCCGATTCAAGATCATCTGCCAGGAATCATCAGATATTGTTGATTCTAGCTTACAAAGAAGCAACATCCAATCTGGCACAGACATCATTTGTACACGCTGGTTCCACAGCTCCTCGGGTACGAGCTCGCAAAATGCCTTTCGAACTCCCAGCTCGTTCGCGACTTCACTAAACACATGCCAAATGAGCTCCTGCCCATTGATCCCATTGAACGTTTTCTTACGCTGAAACAGGCAGCTTTGTGCAACAAAAGGTTTCTCCCTTCTCTAAACATACAGATTCGACGCTTCCCATTACAGCTTCCACCTTTTGTCTCAACTTTTTCTTCTTATACGCAGAGCCAAACTTTCCCTTTAATAACGAAGAAATTGATGATACAGATCCGACAGATTGCGAGGAGTCGTCACAGGAACTTGAAGAAGACGTGTCAACATGGTCAAGGGGGATTTCAAATTTTGGCGGACTTTGTCTTCGTGGAGTGGAGCATTTTGGCGGGCTTCCCGGAAAGCTGCTTTCTAAAGATAATTTTTCCCCTTTCGATTCTTGGGGAGTTTCTCCTTCATCACTTTTAGAATCTCTGTCTGTACTAACGCAGCATAAATCCTGAGCGGGCCCGTGATCGAAGTCCGATTCTTTGAAAGCATGCTCGTTGATGGTCCGCTTCAGCGACAAGAAGGCTTCTGATCGAAGAAATTCCGATTCTGACGGGTTCCTAAGGACTAAATTACAGGCAACTACGGCAAATTTACTTCCAACGTAAACTTGATCGGAAAATTTTTCCCCATTTAGCTTATTGAACCACTGGCTTGAGACAGGGCAGCCATTTTCATCGTACAGATCAGCAAAATTAACGCGAAGAAATTCATCGGGAAATAGCTGAAAGAAAGAACCCTCGCTGAATTTTCTCGGCTGCTTACCACACAAACGATCATTCAACGCATACCATGTCTTTTCTCGATCTAACGATCGAGAGAAAACGCGAAATAACATGGTAGTTACGAGGATCACCGCAAGAAGGGCATCGTGAAAGCTTGCCTCCGGAAGTGACTCGATCTTCCTAAGAGTAAGCTTATACGAATTCATATCTGGCGTCAATTCAAGTTTTTGCCAAAAAAAGGCTGATCCAATTTATCTCTGCAACAAATTAACTAAATAAGTCTGCTTCTTCTTCTCCACAGCATCAACAAGGAACTGACAGATCCGGATTAATGTACACACTTCACGTGTGCAAAGGAATGTGTGAAAAACTAATTACCGCATTGAGCGGACATTGACGCCTGACCGCAAAGCTCGTTCGTTACCATGGAAAAGGGGTCTCCTGGGGCGCGATCCATTCAACCAAAATTTCCGGAAATTTCGGTCCAAAACTCAATGGATCGGTTCGGTCCAACCGGAAAAGTTTCGAAAAAAAACTGGTCCACCTTTTGAGGTGGTCCTCTTTTCCCGGTCGGACCGGTCTGAATTTTGGTTGAATGGATCGCGCCCCTGGAGTGAGCAATAAAATCGGGCCTCTAGCTTATGGGTTCTCATTATACATGTCTCCAAATTTTTTGAACGGCTTCAAAATCTCTGATATACCTTGATATATCTTGTACTAATGTTCAGATCTGTTTTTTTTTTAATCTAAAAACCCTAACCATAACAGGATCCCGAAAAAACACTTTTACAGGCTTGAAAACTCCTCAAAATTGCCTTTTTTCTTCCCACCTCTTTTTCAGACAATCATGGACAAAAGTCTTGGGACACTTTTGCATTTCTGGGGCGTTTTCCAATTCACACAGGTCCAACCCCTTCCCTCACCCCAAAAACAATGTTTCAACTTTGTATAGGGTGGGGGGGAGGGAGAACTGCAAGAAAATTTCGAAAACGCTGCACTGTTTTAAGAGAGAACCGAAAAATAGCAGAAAAATATGAATATTACAGTACTGTCCCAAGGACTTTTGTCCAGGATTGTAGCAATAAAATCCGGGCAGGTGCGGGAAGGGAAAAGCAATACGGCCGGATCACCTTTCCTCCTAAGAGGAAAAGAATCTACTGCTATAGGTTGGAGTATTACTCACCGATAACGATGCCGTTGTAAACGAGCGACAATGACGGTAAAAGCGAAACACTCTGGCGTTGATCAAAAAAGTACCGCAACAAAGGTCTCACGAGAACGAAAGGAGGAAAGACATAGACGTTATGTTCCATTTGTATCGTTTGTGCGAAAACATTAACTCCTGAAGAATACGGAGTCGGCTAAGGCGAGTAATGAGGCAACAGGCTTCTATCCCTTCCTCTGGGAAAGTTGATGCCCAAAGACATCAAGTTAAAAGTCTGTGGTCGAAACCTCCCTTGGAACTCGGGTCCACGCCTCCTTGGAGAAGAAACAATCAATGGGAGGGCGCGTCAGCAATGTTTTCATTCGATGGGACATATTTCAAAAGCAGAAGGACTCTGAAACGCTGACAAACGTCAACAAATAGCTAAAAATATAATTCCTATATGTTTCCATTGCTCGAAATCGCCCGCATTTACAAGGCCCTAAAGCTTTTTGCTGACGTGCAAGGACCCATCTGTTATGAAGATCTCCAAAAGAAAGGGACAAATCTCATAGTTTATTAGATATAACCGTGTAAAGTTCGCTTATCATGTTCACATAAATTATGACCTAAATTTAAAAACCGCTGAATTTCTCGCATTGCGTCTGCGCGATTTTGGAAAACTATGTTCAACGCAAGGTACTAATGCGCACTATGTGTAGCCGATAGATTTTGACGAAAAAAATGCCGGCAACAGCAGAATTTCGACTCAGACCCCAAAGAGGCGTGGCACTATGACCACGTGACATTTCCTCCGATCGCCAAAAATTTTATGCTGTAGTGTAGATTGATCTATATGTTATCCATGCTATATGTTAAACTTAGAATCAGAGAAAAGGTGGGAATATTAGAGAGCTTCAAAGTAGGATGGTACCCCCACGAAATAACTGGGTCGACTCACCTTAACTGATGGCAACAAGGAGATTTCGGGAAAAAAGAAATTGGTGGAACAGCGGAGTCACAACGTTTTCCTTTGAAGTTGCCCTTGAAATGACGTAAGAAACTATCAAGCCTCACTCCCTCTCGGACTGTCTGTAACAAATTAACTTGAGGACAGGTGTAACCATTTGAAGAAATGAGATCCTCCCAGAAATCAACGTGATTATGTAAACTGCCCGCTTGGAAATAATCTGGGTGTCTAAAACGCAATTGGGCCAGGTCAGCGAGGAATGGATTTTTACTCACAAGCGCCGAGTATACGGTGGGACCAACGAAGGATAAGGGTTCCTTGTTTTTGTCACACCATTTGACGTCAGGGCTCGGGAGCCTAAGGACTGCCCGCAGTGCAACCGAGAAATCCTGGGAAAACGGAGAACAAAACTATAAAAATAAGAAAATGAAGAAAAAGAAGGTGGGATCCCCTTATCCTTCGTTGACCCCAGCTCTGACCAATGACCAAAATAAAGACGCTGAGAAGGCCCCCCAGGGTCAACGAAGAAATGAGGCAATAACCTGAAAAAGATTGAGACGCTAATAACTGGGCAAATCTTTATTCTAACCATTAAATAAGGATAATTAAGAAAAAATACTAATTGTAGAAACAAATACCGCCCTTTACAAAGCTCATAGAAAAAGGCACGTCTAACGACTCCACCCTTATGAGGAACGAGCGAGAGTGTAAAATAATGTTACAAAAAAGGTACAAAAAACGGACAAAGAAAAAACGCGTCCCATGGCCTTACAACACTTACATCATTTGCTAACGCCTAGAGTTTCCGCGGCCACAAGCCCTGGCGAAATGCCCTGGTAGGCCACATCTATAGCAATTAACCGGACTGTAAATATAAGGGCGTTGGGGCCTAAACTGGTGGGTACTGTTACGACCTTGAAGCCCAGGCTCTTCAGGTTGGATAGTCTTGAGAAGCGCAGAAAACTCCTTTGCGATTTGGCTCTAACCGGATCGCCTAATAGGCCCATGAGCGGTCTTTTATGAGTAGAGGGTGAGAGGGCATTAGATCCTCCTTTCAATTCATCCAAAATGGCTGCGTAATAGTCCGCCTTTTCGTGGATAGATGACCTGGCTGCTCGAACCAGGGCCTCGACGTAAGCAGAAGCCTCCTAAGGTCATACACAGTTTCCGGCTTCTGAAGAGCGTTGCGAACAGAAGTAAGAGCAACGGTGACAACGTCAACGCCTTGTTTCTCCTTCAAAGCTAAATGATCCCGGACCGTATATGACCAAAACCGGCTCCCGGAGCCGAACGGTCTCAGACCGCAAACCCAATAATATTTCATTCCAAAGAAAAGAAAACCGGCTCCTGGAGCCGAACCAACAAAAATTCGTCCCAAACAAACAACAGGCCCCCAGAGCCAAACGGTCCCGGACGTATACACTAATACCTGGTTTTAAACAAAAAACCCGGGTCACAGAGCCGAACGGTCTTGGACCATATACCCGAAACTATTTTTTCCGAAACAAAACCGGCTCCGGAGACGAGCGGTCCCGGACCGCAGACACAAACAAAAATATTTTGTTCCAAACAAAATCGGCTCCCGGAGCCGAGTGGAACACAAACAAGCCAAAACAAAAAGGACCAACTAAAATGAAATACGTGTACGAACAACAGTAACAAAAGGAGGCAAAGGAAAAACGAAAATTATGCCCTAGGGACACGTGAAACGTTGAATATGCTAAACAAGGTAGTAGCAAAACTTGCAAGAAAACTAAATAACCCAAACGTTGGAGAAAAGACACGAAACGCGTGGTAGAACGGTTAACTAAAGCTTAGAACGAGCAAAATGCACTAGAACCTAGAAATTAACTGATTAGCAGCCGCGGGTTGTGCGCCGATTCTGCGAGAGGTTCTGCTGGAGGATCTGGGTTAGCAGGCGGCCCGGGGGCACTTGGGTATTTTTCGGGTGGATATGTGCCGCCCGGGACTCCAAATAGGCACCCCGTTCTAAAAAAAATTTCCCCTAAAATTGATACCCCGTTCTAGAAATGGGCCAATTTTTTATACCCCGTTCTAGAATTCGCCCTAAAACTGATACCCCGTTCTAGAAATGGGCCAATTTTTTATATTCCGTTCCAGAAAGTTTGTAAATTGAAATAGACCTGTTTTTTTTAAAGAGATATTTATTTCTTTGTTCGACTTATACATCAAATAAATGCTTCTTCATAATCAGCAACAATTTTAAGCAGAAGATAAGGCCGTGATACACAATTTTTTATACCACGTTCTAGAAAACGCCTCTGAAATGGATACCCCATTCTAAATCAGGAGCTTCAAAATCACGACCCCGTTGGGCGGCACATACCCGTATAAGTAATGTATGGGAGTGCCCCCCCCCCCCCCCGGGCAGGCGGTTCTGTTGAAACCGGTGGCGAAGGTGGTAAAGTTACCAGTACATACAGAGGTCAGTACTATAGCAATAAGCAAGTACGATAAGAACTAAAATAGACAATGATGAGGGATTTTGACTGATTGTTGTTGACATGAGATAAGCAGTTAAAATAATTAACCTTATTCTTGCAGGGTTCTGTCCGACAACAAAATTGAACATCTTCCATCTGGGATATTTTCCAATCTATCTGAGCTACAATACTTGTAAGTTTGTATTTTTTGTATTGTCTGCTGTTTATTATCAAGACCAGAACACTAGTATGCGGAAGCAGCCACGTATATAAGTTTCCATACGGGTAACCTTCACTTCGCGGCTAGCATACAAGGTACATAAAGCAAGATGGTTATACCAGCTGTGCAACACGAACAGATGTGACATTACAAAGTCTTTTCTTCTATTATTAACCAATTACGAATAACAAGGGTAGAAATATAACTTTGCTAAGCCTCAAATTAAGCGAAATAGCACAGTTAAACTTTCAGTTGCTTTTAGTTCCTTCTACACGGTCACGTGAAATATTATGATATTGGAGCAGGACACTAGAAAGTGCTCATGAATACCGTTAGTGGTAAAGATTTTGCCTATCATGGTTTGAAAACTAGTATACACGTCTTTTATACTCCACACGAATAAAAGAGACAGAGACTAAATATTCTCGCAGCAATTGCATCACGTACCACACCGTAATTTTTAGGAAGTTGTTATAACTCCAAAAATGGAGTAAAAATTTTAGGTACAGGATAACCCCATTTTTGGGGTTATTTTAACTCCTAATTTAACTCCGAATTTGGGGTCATTTTAACTCCTGAAAAAGAGTTCTTTTTACTCCCAGTCTGGAGTTAAAATTACTCCGAAATGGGGTTACTTGTACTCCTTACATGGGTTGTTT